AGGGTTTCAAGCACCCCAAATGAATCAACATAACGAGACAAGGCACACCGCCACCCGGCACGGCGGCAGCCACCACCATACGGTGGTGGTTCGAGATTTCTATTCATTATTCTTCTTTGTTACATTTTACATTGCACTCACGAAAACACACACTACACTAAATAAACACACATAACACACGTTTGAAGATTTGTTCACACACCAGCCACCCACCCGGCGGCTCCCAGCAGCGGCAGCAGCGAACTTGAGATGGCAGCCACCACCCTATGGTGGTGGCGGTGGCTTCTTCCGTTTCCCCAGTCAAGCATCAACGACAGCAGTAAGCCCGTTCTTGCAGATAAGGACGCAACCACCACTTGGTGGTGCGTGACGACGGCAACAACATCCCTAACGGCCACTACGGTGGCTAAAGGCGGTGGTTAGAGCTATCGGAATCACACTAGCAACCTGAGCACACACACGCACCCTCCAGATCGGAAATGGACCCGGCCACCCCACCTGGTGGCGTAAGACAACGATGATGGCGTGAAACGATGACAGCAGTAGCGGTGATACGACCAGCATTGCCAAAAACGGAGATAGAGAGGCGTTCCTGGTGGGAAACGGCCAAAATCCAACGCCAAGACCAACAACCACAACAGTAGTGGAAGGAGGAGAAGGATATGGCGTGTGTTGTTCGACACCGGCGACGGAACACCGTAGACGGTGCGTCATCAGCCAAGAGCAGCAGCGACACAAGACAGCGGTAGCAGAGGAGTGGGGCGACGACGCTCCTGATGGTTTTTGGCTTCAACACTGGCGGGTAATGACTTCATCGGAGGTGGTGGTGTGGTACCGGAAATCGCAAGTGAAGGTGGCGGCTGGAGGTTATGGTTAGAGAGGATAGCGGCTGCATCGTCCATTAGGGTTAGGGCAACCGGGGATGCGGGTTCATATATCCCGCTCCTAACAAACTTCCATCCATATTAACAACATCAGTCCCTCTTTTCCTCATTTCTTTCAAAATAAGGCCGATATTTACCATATAAACCCTCATAATCATAATCCCTTACAATTTAAGTACAATATTTACTTAACAGCCCTCCGCCTTGGAAATCTTTTCAAAACTAATCCATGATTTACCTTTTTAACCCCCGATTCCATAAATCTTTACAATATAAACCAAAATTTGCATTTTATCCCTTAGTTCCATAATTCCTTTCATATTGAGTCCTAATTGTTACCCATCATCCCCTGTCTTCATAAATAATTATAAGGTGAGTCTGAAAATTACACTTTTAACCCCTAATCTCTTAAAGTGTGACAATTAGCTCTACGAGACCATCATTTGGTATATAATTATTTATTTTAGGGCTTCTATTCGTTCATTAATTTATTTATTTATTAAATAAATAAACAGGGTGTTACACTAACCATGCTTCCCTCTTGTTAATTTGTATCGCTGAAACTATTGCTAGTTGTTACTTATAAAAGGGGAAGCTTGAATAGTTGAAAACTATATCCGAAAACTATTGTAGATTAGTAGAGTAAATATGTGTAGCTAAAAATTGTTAAAATGTAGCTGGTAATTGCTAACGGAGTAAATGTGTATAACTGAATATTGTTAAACAATAGTTGGTTATTGCAGAGTAACATAGTAAATGTGTGTAGCGGAATATTGTTAAAACTATAGCTGGTTGCAGATTAACAGAGTAAATATGTGTAGCTAATCATTGTTAAACTATACTTCGTTATTGTTGATTGATGGGGTAAGCTTGTATAGCTGATTATTGATGTTTGACATAGTAAGTTTGTATAGCTGAATGCCATAGCTAGTTATTATTAACTTTTTAAAAAGCTAGCTTATAAGCTAGCTGATAAGCTACTTTTTGGTTTGCCAAACATGACAACTTAAAAAAGCTTGAAAAATAAGCTAGCTTATCAGCTAGCTGTGGCGCGCCAAACACAGCCTAAATGATATAATAATGCTACGTGACATGCTGGTAATTTATAGCTAGTCGTCGTTAATTGATATAGTAAGCTTTTGTAACTAAAAATCTTAGTTGACTATTATTGTATGATATGATAAGCTTATGTAGTTGACAACCATTGGTGACAGCTGATAAATTATTTGGTGGGCCTTTTGGCAACAACCATTGGTGATAGCTGATAAATTATTTGGTGGGCCTTTTGGCAACAACCATTGGTGATAGCTGATAAATTATTTGGTGAGCATTTGTAGCAACATATATTGTTGATAACTGATAAATTATTTTGTGAGCATTTGTAGCAACATCCATAGTTGAGAGATAATAAATTATTTGTTGAGCCTTTGTTGCAACATCCATTGACCATTATTGACAGATAATAATTAATTTTGTTGAGCCTGCATGGCAAAAACCATAACAAATGATGGTTGAATAATCGTGGTGAGCTTATATGGCCAGCATAATAGTTGAAGTGATAATTGCCGAAAGACTATGGCAGATAATGGTGGAAACCTATATTTGATAATTTCAGAGACAAATCATGTAGGCCATACGAGTTGTAAGGATTGTCATGGTTATAACGGTAATGCATGGATCGAATCATTGTATAATGTTTTGATATGCGATCATTTTGGTAACTGCTTGTATGATGTCAAATTATTATAAACGAATAAATGCACACATGGTTGTTTTGTAATATAAAAACAAAATTTTTTGGATGTACCTTGTGTTAATTTTTCGGGTGTTACAAGCTTGTTATTCTTCTAATTTCTCGATAGGCTAAAAACCTTGTGGACATACAAAGCTAAAAGGCAAGGAGTGCAAGGAAGAACAAAGCCCATCAAAGAAGGAAATGACACATCTAAGCAAGTGTTCTGGGACGAAACACACCATGCATAAGATTTCTTGAAAGTTCACCCCAAACTCCAAACAATCCCACACAAATCAATAGGGTTTCTTCCAACTGCCAACATTCACTTGTATCCTCTAAATGTTGCAACCAAGATAGGACATCATCTATTCATCTAGCACAATATCAGTTTATCACGATAGTAGTGGTATTGTTTTTATGTTAGTTTCTTTGGTGGTTTGTATGCATATAAATAGTTATACATAAATTGGTCTAATTTCTATGCCAACATTCACTAACAAATTCTTCATTCATTATGATCAAGATCTACTGATTCACAAATGTTTTAACCTTTTGGTCTGTTGCATGCTCCACATTTATCTCCCAATGTGTAAATTATTCATTCTTCATCTCATTCAAAAGAACCCAACAACTTCTCATCTACATTTCTAGTTTCCCTACTACTGTTCAAAAACTTTAGCCCAACAACAGCCCAAAGAAGAAGCTCATGTCCAAAATTTTGTACATAATAATAAAAAAGAAAAGATTCCCATACTATCAACTTGTGCATCACGTCTGTAAAAGTCATACACAAGATCAACGACCAATTAAGTACGACATGAAAAATCAAATTTAAACAAACCCAATATTAGCAACATATCGAAAGAAAGCAAGCAAGCTTACTTAGAAGATGGAACAACATAAGGTCACAATTCAAAAAAATCCATCTATTATACTTTGAGTAAATTACACGGATAGTCCCTATGGTTTGGGGTAATTTGCATGTTTGGTCCCTAACTTATTTTTTTAACTCGGACCGTCCCTATGGTATGTTTTTGTTGCGTCTATAGTCCCTACCAGACATAAAATGTCTATTTTGCCCTTAATGAATATTTTTATGTTGTTAATTCTTTTTTTATTATTCCAGTTATTTTATTAAATAAATTAAATTATTATCATATTGTTAGAAAATGATCCACCGCACCTTAATCATCTTACAGTTCCTACTACCACCTCCTCAGGTCACCATCTCCGGTAACAAATCCAATTCCGGCAGCACCTCAGGTCATCATCTTCGGTTATAGATCCAATACCACAGAAATCACCCAATACTCAACTTAGAGCTACCTAACATTCCATAATAAATCTAAAAATACATCTAAAACCAAACCTGTAACTCAAATCAAAATCCAAAATCCATGATGCAAAAATCACATATATAAAATCAAAGTTGCAAAAATCCCACAAAGTTTCAGATGCAAAAATCACATAAATAATCACAGATGCAAAAATCATACATAGATGCACATCAATTAGTAAAAAAATAAACCCATATTCAGGTGATTCGACTCTATATTAGAGGGTCTACAACCTCTTGTATCCCTAGAGCGTCCCCCCATTCGTTAGTATCAGAAGAATAACTTCCCGCTACCTTCACCATTTCAGTCGATCATCAACCACACCCAGCCTCCTCTATATTTCTTATATCCAACACCACCACCCCATATCTCAAAAACCAAACCAAACGAAATTAAATTAATCTGTAAATCTCACTCCTAAACATCAAATAAAAAGAGATGGCAGGACGAAAGAGTGGATCTTGGGTTCAGAATAGATTTTGATGGTGAGGGGTAAAATGGTCTGTGACGTAGAGCTTTTTGACGATAGTATGGGAGAATGAAGGATCCCAGAAAATATGAGTGTTGACTGGTGGCGGCGACGATGCAGAAGATTGGACCAGAAGGTCGCCTCCAACTCCAACGGCGATGATGACGGGTGTTTGTGTTCATCGGAGTTGAGAGAGGGTTCTTGGTTTCTGATTTTGTTCGCCGGAAACACCATGGCAATGGCGATGGGATCTAGGGTTTTTAGATGAGCTAAGAGTTCTGGAGGATTGAGTTTAGAGAAGAAAGAGAGAAACACGATGTATCAGATCGGAGATGGGATAAGAAATTGGAGGCTGGGGTTAGCCGGGTTGGGGAGGGTGGGTTTTTTCTTTTTTTATTAACTTATAAATAAAAATTAAATGATAAGTAATTAAAAATGAAATTAATAAGGGTAATATAGTAATTTTAGGTCAACTAGGGACTAAAAACGCAATAAATTCAAAAAATAAAGATGGTCCGAGTTAAAAAAATAAATTAGGGACCAAACATGCAAATTATCCAAAACCACAGGGACTATCCGTGTTATTTACTCTTATACTTTTGTTTTGGCATATATTCCCTTGTCAACTACAGTTAGCCTCAAATCATTTCACCACTTGTTTTACATTACACATGGCATTTTAATTTTCATGACAAATCCATTTTTTAACAACAAAGAACAAACACATGCTCATTTTACAAAGGATGGTAAGGCACATATCCTAAAATACCCGTAACATGTGCCACCACATCATTACATCTTGTCAAAAGGCTCACCATTTGCTGTGCAATATCAACATTTGGCCGCGGCGGTGGTATGGCGGCAGGTCTGTTTAACCGTGGCGATGGAGCTAGCGGTCGTGGCGGTGGCAGTGGTGGTGCCACCCGCATCGACTGTGGCGGCAATGATGGTGGTGCCGATGGTTTGCTGTAGTTCATAGACCTCCGTGGTGGTGGCGGAGATGCTAAAGGCGGCGGCTGCAATGGAACTAGCGGTGGTGCCACCAATACTCTTTTGTCTCTGGCCAAATTGAATTTTACACGAGAAATCTTTCTGCCGCCATCATCACCGCCACCGGATTTCTTCAAACACGATTTCACCGGCGTATCCACCGCCACCACCACAGCCGCCGTGTCCTCCGCTGGCGGCTGGCGGTCGGAGACTTTGTCAGGCGGTTCGGAATTGGAAAGCTCCTTGAGACTATACTTTACGTTGGTGTTTCCGAACAGACTGCTACTTAAACTTCCGGTGGCGGTGACCGCCTTCAATGCCGCCAAAGCATCCGCCTTGTATTTGTAAACCACAAGACACGTGAAAGTCTTCCAATATATGCGGGTCCCATCATGATCCATCGTTCCATAACGCCCCAACTTCGCCTTCAGCTCGCTAATAGACGGCAAAGATTCTCCCGATGGAAACTCCATCTTTAAAGTAGTCCATTCCTCTTCCTCTGCCCCTGCCCGCTGCCCGACCTCCTGCCCGGATTTCCTCGGTTTTACAACCACCATCTGCCGCCCCCCATCTTCATCCATTTTCTTTATCTTTTTCTTTTTCGCAACGGTTTCTTCATCGCGATCCCGCTTGATGCCACCCGACGGTGGCGGTGGCGGTGGCGGTGGCGGTGGTGGTGGTTTTACCGGTGGAGCTCCGGCGACCACCGGGGATTTACTTGCGTTTTGAGTGACTGAATTTAAGCTTTTTTGGAATACAAGTGACCGGAACTTTAGAAAAACCTGCCGGAGTTTTCTGTTATTAGTATGAAAAGGATCAAGAGCTAATAAATGCAAATCTGCTAGGACACGTGGCAGCTCCATTTCAGGGCTATCACCATCATGATCTTGAATTAAAGATTCTTTTTTTCTTTTCTTTTTTTTCTCCAGTGATTTGTGAGGGTCTTCAATATTGGATGAAACTTTCTCCATTAAAGATTCTGTATTTCTTTTCTTTATCTTCATCTCTGGGGAACTAATTTTATGGGGGTGTGAATATGGAATGCCATTTTGGGTAACAAACTTTTGGAGATTTGAAGACTTGTGAATTAGAGAAATAATGGGTATGTTGATCTCAAAATCAAGAGGATTATTGGATGATTCTGGAACAATAATGGGTTTGGATGTGTCTTCATTGGTTGAAACTTTTAATGTTGCAAGTATCGGATCTTCGATATCTTCAGGGGTTGACTCTTTGACTTTTTGTCTTCTTTTGAAAAGGTATTTATCTGTCTTAGGTTTATTAGGTTTAGCATTTGTTGGGGTTTTAAGCTTGCTTAGAGTGTCACCAAACACCTGTCGCCTACTCAATGGAGCTGTAAAAAGTAACAACTCATGTGAGAGTGAGATAATGGAATGCGTCATTGAATTCCATTCCATGATCATGTTTGGTTGGCTTGTGGCTTGTACTATGTAGGAATGGAATATGAATTTATTAGAATATATCTTAAATAGAATGTATAATTATCTACTCTATAGATTATTTTAATTATAAGTTTATACCTAATAAGCTTTCATCAACAAAAAGAAAGAAACTAAACATAATAAATGCTCATTAAAACCAATAAAGTTTTTTTTTTTTTTTTTTTTTCATTCAACGGAATGAACCATTCCATTCCTTCCCCGATTCCATCATACCAAACATTACCTTATAGTTACTTTCTAACTACCAAGAATAAACAAATTACAATAAGAAATAATTATAACTAACAAAGACATAAAAGAGGTCCAATTTTTTCATATCACCGCAATAACAATGGTGAAGTGCATTTGCTCAGAAGCATGTGATATATCATAATAAATATATTAATTCTAACCCTAATTATGTGTTGAAGGTAGGTTTCGCTTTGGCATAATGATGAGAATCAATAGAGATATAAGTCTTTTAACTTTTATGATATCTCATTTTTTTTTTACAATTCATGCCATGGGAACATTAGTAAACTTGCTCCTTCATGTTTCCCAAGCAGTAAACTTATAGTAGTCCTATTGTGAGTGCGATTGATCACCGATTACTAAATTTAATCAACCCTAAAATGTTCATTGTTATGAGATAAAAACATTTTGACATGAAAAGAAAATACGAAACAATCATTCAAGAAACTTCAAAACACACAACAAAAAGCAATTAATCAAAGGTAAGTAAGACCACCATAAGAAGTTAAGAACATCTAGTTTGTTAAAAAAACAGTAGGGGGTTTTCAACCAGTTGATATGAAAGAAGAAATAAAGAGGGAAAAGAAACAAAAAAGAACATTTATCAATACCTTTAGATGGCTTTTTATCAGAGGTCGATACTTGTATAGATCCAGGTAATGGGCGAACAAGATCACCACCAAATGCCTGATCATAATAAACTGCCCTTCTGTAAGACATAACAATGGCCTTGTTCTTTATAAAATCAATGTCATCATGTTCATCTGTAGGTTCTAAAGCCAGCTCCCTTACAAAATCAAGAGTCAATCTTGGCTGGAAACTTTCCCTGGCTTTCCGAATTGTGTTAATTGAATATACAGCTCCAGGCTCATAATCCACCACATCAACAGCATAAAAACCCTGTGCATCGGTCTTCCTGAAATTCTGCTTATTCCGACACATACAAGACAATCCAAGAGCACCCCGCCTCCTTACTTCATCAATTGCCTCCTCCAAAGCCTTAACAAATGTTCTTGAATTAGTCTGTAGAGACTTCTCGGCAATATTTGAATCAAATGGTATAAGTTCTGAAGAATCAAACCATCCACAGCTACTGTCACCGAAAAACGCAACCAACAATAGGCCATCCTTCTTTGATCGGCGGACTGAAGGGGTTGCAAGCTCTTCACTGTACACATGGCCAGGCCACCAAGGATGGGATTTCACTTTTCCCCAAACCATATCCCCTACTTCAAATCCATAATCAGGAGATACCTCTATCGAATCCCCAGCTCCTCTATTGTTTACATTATCGATATTTCCTTCCTGCGAAACACTACCCATGCTACCCCTGCAATACACCGACCTACACTTTCATGACGTTGTCGGAGGAGCCAATTCTATATGCCAATGAAGATTTTACTTTACTATCAGTGCTGCCATCAACAACAGATTCTGATTCTGTCTAGGGTTTGTAATTTGTACGATCGTTTGATTCAAGATCACAAAGAACGATTACAATGATGAAGAATAAAGAATAAGGGATGGAACTGGTAGAGCATACAAGCGACAACGGTGGAAGATATGCAACCACCGGAGGGGATGTGTGGTTATCAAAACCCTAGGAGAGATTCTGCCGAGCTTCGGCGATGCAAGGCGTTTTTTAGCTTTTTAATCGTGAGAAATTAAAATTAATAAATACTTCTGCAATTCTTTCCAATTTTAGCAATGTGTTAAAATATTTCGATAGTATTAAAAAAACATGATATCATGTGTTTTTCATGCATAACTGAATGCAATTCACTAAGGTCTTGCAAAGCTCTTTTATTTGTGAAGTATATTTTTTTGTTTATAAACGAGAGTATAATTATTTAATTAAAATAATAATTTTTAACAAATTATTATTTAGTATTTATATACGAAAAAAACAATCAATGTATATCAAATCAAAACCTATAGTTAACCTATTAAATGTCATAGTTTTATATTAGTGGTTAATTCTATTAGACAAAATTGCAAAAATGGTCCCTGTGGTATGCATTTTTTTGGGGTTTTGGTTCAAATCCTGACTTTTTTGGCTTCGTGGTCCTTTTGACCATGTTTGCTTGTGATTTTGGTCCATTGGAAAACTGAAAAGACTAAAATGCCCTTTCTGATATACTTTTTATGTTTTTTCATTTTAATTTAAAGGAAAAAGAAAATAGTTAATTAATTTGGGCCCACATCTCTCTCTCTCTCTCTCTCTCTCTCTCTCTCTCTCTCTCTCTCTCTCTCTCTCTCTCTCTCTCTCTCTCTCTCTCGAATACCGGACCTAAAATTCAATCGTTCCTTCAAAGATCTTGCAAACAACATTCGTCAAAAAACTCAAATTCCAGTTTTAATCCAAATGGATTATCATCACCAATCAAGACTCAAGTAGTGAAATTACACACTTCAACTTGAAGTAACTAATTTCAGTATCAAAATAGTGAAATTACACACATCATCTAAAGAAATCAGAAACCAGTTCTTCATTTTCATTCTTCAATACAACTGTGGTAATCATACCCAATTACAACCACTTTAACTTAAAATCAAACCTCAAATCGAAAAACAAAAAACGAAAGCATAGTAAACACAGTCAGTTGTTCACAATAATATACCGACAACCTAACCCAATCAACTGGATTTCTTAGTGGTCATAAGATCAGCAGGCTTGTTCTTCATCTTTTCCGTTTGGGGACGACGACGATGATTTGTGCTCTCCTCCTCCAATCCTAAGGTAGTATCTCTTAATCACCTTCTCCTTCACAAATTTGTTGTAGATGAAAGCAACTCCTCTGAACTGTGGCAACACCAGCCACGCCACCGCTATCAATTTCACATCATACCATATCAGTATCTGCTAACCATTAGTTTCTGGAAATCACGATGATCAAATCTTGAAATAAAATGGTTGTGTTTTATTCCAGTAGTCACCATTCAAGGGCAGATGCAAGAAGCATCTCCACAAGAGTAAGGAAGGAGTATAAGATCCAGTAAGAAAGCCATTGCTGATCATCTTCTTTTGAAGAAGA